GGTAAGATTATATAAGAGTTGAGGAATTTTTGATAGTTTTCACAAATTAATTACTAGACATCCAAACTGTTTGTCCATATAAAATTTCGACTTCAAATCAACTTGATCTCAAATTACACATTTAAAATCATGTCCAAACGCGCACTAGGTTAAGAGTCATTTTGTATGACATCAGTATGAACACCAAAAGCTTTGGAAGCATTGATGAAATCTTTGTAGAGAATGGATTTGTAGAGAGGTGGATTAGAGTCATTCAATAGGACTTTTGCTGGCTCAACAATGCTGTTGGGAGTTGGATTCACAAATATGGCTATTGATGTTCTTGCTTCCTTTGAATTTGTTACTGCTCTATGCTCCACACTTCTTAGCTTCCCGTTACTGATTATCTATTTCATTCATTAAAATTACACAAAAAAAGATAAAATTAATGTGAGAGAAATCATGTACACATGTGCATAATGTGAATGTTCATAAATATATACCCTTTAACTTAACATCAGCTATCATCTATGTCGTCCTTCAACTTTGGGTGTGCATAAGTAGACACTTAAACTTGTCTAAAATTGAACAAGTAGATACACTGTCCTACGTGGTATAATACATGGAGGAAGCCACATAGGACACAAAATTGTTATGTAGGACGCCACATAGGACGAATGTGTCTATTTGTTCAATTTTTTAATTATAAATTTAAGTGACTATTTGTGCACACTCAAAGTTGAAGGGCATAGTTATCTTGTAAAACCAAGTTAAAGAGACATTTATGTATATATTATATCTTTTTTATAAGAAAAAACAATCATATAATCTTATATATATAACGTATATTATCAGTTTAAAAAGTATATTAATAGGTACATACCTCTAATTGATTGCCTATGTTGACAAGAAAGGCATTAGGCACAGCCTCAACACACATCCACTTTCCATCTACCAAAACTTGAAGTCCACTTACATTGCCTTGATATATTATTGTTATGAGGCTTGGATCAAGATGTTTTAGTATGCCTAAAGTCAAGCTTGGATCTGGACATGCTGGATAATTATTTGCTGACAACAATTGAACTTCACTTTGTTCATCAAAGTAGCCTGATTCAATTCCTAATCCTTGACATATTAGCTCCAAAATTGTCAAACTCAGCATCCTTATTTCCGCTACATATCTTCCCACAACTTCTCTGTTATCAATAACAAAATACATCAGTAATTCAATTCGATTCTACTAGATTATTGTAGTACGTAGTCTGTTTTGCCAAGCTTCTTAAGACTTGAAAGTACTATATATATAAATATTGTTCTTATTTTAGAGATTTGAGATGTTTGACAAATTTTGAGTAGTAGCAGAAACTATATTTCAAATACTATTTTTTTTATCAGAACTATATCGGGAAACCTTAGTCAAACACAAATTGTTGCTCTAATAATATCAAAAGCGCTTTTAAAATGGATTAACTAAACACAAACTGCTACTTTTCAAAAAGTACTAGAACTACTTGTGAAAACCTTAGTCAAGCACAAATTGTTGCTCTAGTATTATCAAAAGTACTTAAAAATTGAGTAGCTAAACACAAACTGTTACTTTTCAAAAAGTAAGAAGATTTGAAATTTTAGCCCAAAAAAAAGCTGTAGATCCACCAAAATGGGATGAAAAGTGGTTGAACAACTATTATTATTGTTTAATTACCTGTAGGTAGCTGGTTTATCAGGCCAGCTTTGCATGCATTTCTCAAGAGGGTGACAAGGGTGTTTTATATTATCCCTCCATAAATGAACACCATTTTTAACTTCTTCTTGGCTCCCTGTGAAGATCCATCCTTTTCTGCTTGCTACATTTACTTTTTCTTCTTCAGTCATGTTGTTGAAAAACTCTTCAAAGGTTGACAATGTTTGAGTCGCCACGTTCTCTAGGATTCCATGGTTGATCACCTATATAGAAACAGATTCAGGATTTGAATATAATGAATTCAAGTTTGGAATTCTATCACATCGTCACATGCGTACAATTAAGAAGATTGGACAATCTATTATTTGTTCACATCAAGTGAAACTTTTAACATATGTTAAGGTTTAAGGTAAAGTTACTAAATTCAAATGAACTTGTTTGACTACATATTCCGCCTTTGATCACCTGGAATTTTTTAGTCTAGAGATCAAGATATATACAAGATACACATATTATAAAATTTATATACATATAACATATTATATTGGAAATGAGATTTCCTCGCCACTTACAATTTCAATAGAAGAAAATGATATGTTCAGATCTGTTATGTTTAAAAATGAAATACCTCTTATAAAAAGACCATCAAATTTTAATAAAATTGTAAGTGAACTAAAAAATCAATTCTCCCCGATGTAAGTGGTCAAAGATTCACATCGGATCGAATCCTTAAAAAATACTAAAAATATTATTAGTACTAAAGAAAAGTTGATCTATACATACCTGGAAAAAACCAAATTCTTGACCAGCTTGCAAGAGTTGTTTAATTGTTTCATTTTTTTGTGATTTTCCAAGATCAATAACTGGGATTTTGTTGCATATAGGTATAGGAGCATCACCTGGTCTTTCTTCTTGGGGAAATTTAAAGCAATGAGGCACACATTCAATATTGAACCATTTTGTGTTATGTTTCTCCATAATTGTCCTCAAATCTCCTTCATGATAGTGTATCTTATGCTATAATTAATACTAATAATTAAGTACGTATGCCTACTGCTTATGCAAATAGTTTCTTAATTATTTCTTTATTGATTAAAAGAAAGAGACATTATATATTTTTAATTAATCAATTAGCCCATAACTCACATGACTATTTTATTGCAAAAATTATTTTTAGTTACGTCTCACGTTATCACTCCAACTTTAATTTCATTGACATATTGAACAACTTGCGTTTTAAAAAAATTATAAAGCGTAGCCGGCCATGGAGTTTCTTTCAAAAAGAAATAATTCCAAAAAAAAAAAACGTGAATATTTAATCTATTTGATCTAATTGATAGATACCAAACCCGATCCATTATTTAGATTTGATCAATAAGATGACTAAAAAAATGGATTGGTTCGTTATTGACTCTAAAAAATCTCTATAGTGATTTTAGCAATTCAACTAAAGATTATGATTAAATATCCTTCTATGATGGCGACACTATTTTATATGTAGATCACTTGAAATAATACTTGTCAGTTGTCACATACAATTATTATTTAACTATAACCAAAATTATATTATTTAACAATAATTATTTCTCTTTCATACCAATAATCATACAATTGTAAGTCGTAGCCAGTTAAGCATACAATATTTTTAAAATAAGATGAAATTGATACTAGATACAGACAAATATGATTCAAACAAATATTAACTACAAATTCCATCTCTAAGTTTTTTTCATATCCACTTCCAACAAACTAAAACAAATAGTGTTTTGTCATAAATTATCTACAACAGACGAAGCTAATCTGTTACCACCTATAACTTAATTATATTTTATGACTAATAATACTCAATAAAAATGATGCCAATCTATTTTATTTTTTTTGGGTTGAAAATCTTAGTGGACAAAAATCTTGCTACAAAGTTTGTGTTCTCTCACTAAAAAGATGTGACTCGTGTATTTAAGTACGAAATGGAATATTTTTCACAAAAAATGAATCATTAATGACAATTTTTTTAAAACTTTGTTTGGGTCTCGTAACCTCTGCTCTTTGATTGATCACTTTGTTGGTAACCTGCTCACTTATGCAATCACTCGCAAATCACACAAAGATGTAAATCATATCAGACAAGTCCCATGCGACAAGCTAATATATAACTGAGTACTTTGGAAGAAATTTTTGCCGTAGCTAGCAATTTTGTAGTTAAAGATCACATCTATTGTAGTGATTTGTAGATGTTGAAGTTATGCCTCATTACATTATATTTGTCCAAATTTATATATCTTGCAGTCATAGAGTAAAGGACAATACTTATTCAATTTCTTTTGTGTTCAAATTCTAAACCGATGAGGCGTTACTGGATGCTTTTAATCAATAGAGTACGAAGAAATGGAAAAAATTTCATCAAAATTACTATATCATTGCATCAACTCCATGACTTGAACTTTGAAAAATCTGATTTTGATTCTTAGATTTTCACACCAACAAAACTGACCTTGTGTTTAGGTGAGAGTAGATGGCTTTCACCAATACTGCTCTAGCTAGGTGAATCTGAGGGAGCAAAATAGAAAGGATGAGAATCACGTGCTAGAAACAGAGATTTTTCTCACCACGAATCAACGAGAAATATATATTATAAAAATATGATTTTAATTTCCACTCATTTCCCTCTGAACCAGCTCACTTGGAAAACACATAGGAAATAGATTCTCACTGAACTAATGGAAAGCTTCCTAATTTTTCCATATGAAAACACTACTATTTTTTTCTTTTCTCATTAACTCAATCAAAATATTTGTGAGAATAGCTAGTAAATATCTTTTAGTAGAAAACGTTAATTGAAAAATAATAGTAATTTTTTAGTAGCGAGTTATTATTGATTGAAGTAAGAATTAGTACAAGTCACTTCTAAAGTGGATCCTATTATTGTGAAAGTGCAGAAAAGAAAGATTAAAAAAACATTTGTTGATGAAATTTCTACAAAGTTTCAACTTTAATTATAACATTCTTTAAAAAGTAAGATTTGAAATTTCAGATTTGACTGATACGTATATTTAATCAAAAAAGACCTATAATTTTGAATTTTATAAAAAAGAGACTCATGCCCAACATGCATGTGTTGGAAATCTTATAAAAAACAACTTCTTGAAGAACATTCGTATGAAATTGACAAAAGCTTGAGGCATGTTAGACATTGTTCTTAAGAATATTTCAACCACTATAGATGTACCTGCAAAATTCAATAAGCTCTTCTAGACTCTCGTATAAACTAGGAGCCAGAATCTAACAAAGATTAAAATAGAAATCCAGCCTAAGACAAAAACATATCAAATATCACAAATTAAAAAAAACAATAATTCATTTAAAGATACTGAAAATTATTCTTCCAACAACATGAAGGGATTATTTATACACAATAAAGAGTTGGAATAAAAGTTTTGGTAGTTTTCACAAACTAAAAATATAACTTAAGAGATCCAAATTTCAAATCAACCTGATTATATTTCAAATCACACATTTGAAATCATGTCCAAACGCGCCTTGGATTACGCGTCATTTTGTATGACATCAGTATGAGCACCAAAAGCTTTGGAAGCATTGATAAAATCTTTGTAGATAATTGATTTGTAGAGAGGTGGATTAGAGTCATTCAACAAGACTTTTGCTGGCTCAACAATGCTGTTTGGAGTTGGATTCACAAATAGGGCTATTGATGTTCTTGCTTCCTTTGAATTTGTTACTGCTCTATGCATCACACTTCTTAGCATCCCATTACTGATTATCTATTTCATTCATAAAAAAAAAAACACAAAATAATGTTTACTGTTCATATTTTATTGAATACAATTATATACTATATAATAGGTTATAGGTAGCTACATACCTCTAATTGATTGCCTATGTTGACAACAAAAGCATTTGGCACAGCATCAATCCACATCCATTTTCCATCTACCAAAACTTGAAGACCACTCACATTGCCTTGATATATTATTGTTATGAGGCTTGGATCAAGATGTTTTAGTATGCCTAAAGTCAAGCTTGGATCTGGACATGCTGGATAATTATTTGCTGACAACAATTGAACTTCACTTTCTTCATCAAAGTAGCCTCTTTCAATTCCCAATCCTTGGCCTATTAGCTCCAAAATTGTCAAACTCAACTTCCTTATTTCCGTTACGTATCTTCCAACTACTTCTCTATAATTGATAAAAAAAAAAAAAAATCGTCAATAGTTTAATTCAATTTCTACTTGATTGTAGTAAGTAGTCTGTTTAGCTAATCTTCAGAAAAGTCAAAAAGTATATATTTATATATTAGAGAGAGATTTGAGGTGTTTGACAATTTTTTTTTTAAGGGGGGGTGGGTAGTAGAAGAAACTTTATTTGAAAAGCAAAAACAAATTTTTTTTTTTTTTTTTGTCACCCAAACTATTTATGAAAACCTTGGTCAAGCACAAATTATTGCTCGCTTTTAAAATTAAATTAGCTAAGCACAAACGACTAAAATAGAATGAGAAGTAGTAGAACAAGTATATATTTGGGGTATTAGTATTGTTTAATTACTTGTAGGTAGGTGGTTTATCTGGCCAACTTTGCATGCATTTCTCAAGAGGGTGACAAGGGTGTTTTATATTATCCCTCCATAAATGAACACCATTTTTAACTTCTTCCTCACTCCCTGTGAAGATCCAGCCTTTTCTGGTTGGCACATTAACTTTTTCTTCGTCAGTCATATTGTTGAAAAACTCTTCAAAGGTAGACATTGTTTGAGTTGTTACGCTCTCTGGGATTCCATGGTTGATCACCTACAGAAAAAAACTCAGAATTTAAAAATTATGAATTCGAATTTGGAATTCTATCACATCACATACAATTTACTAGATTCAGAACGTATATTGTTTGTTCATTCATATCTAGTGAATATTTTAACATATAGTCAAGGTCGTCTAAGATAAGTTACTAAATTTGAATGAACTTGTCTGGCTACATCTGCCTCTCATAACATGCAATCTTTTTTAGGCCAGCTAGACTCTAGAAGTGGATTAAAGATTTAGAGACATCGAATTCAAATGAGAATATACATTGCAATTATCTCATAATTTAGTGAATATTTTAACATAATAGTACTCAAGTTCTAAGGTAAAGTTACTAAATTCGAATGAACTTATTTGGGTACATCCGCCTCTCATCACCTACAATATTTTTTAGTCTAGACTCTAGAAGTGGATTAAAGATTTAAAGACATCGAATTCAAATGCGATTCAATTTAATTATTTTATACACATACACACATACATACATACACACACATACATATATTTATTATATGTTTTTTTTCATATATAACATATACGGGATTTCAGGTCAACAATTTAGATCCATACTAAAATTTTAAAAACCTGCTTGTTTTTTCTTGAAACAACAACGTATGCAGTACAATCTCATAAGTGTAGTTTGAGAAGGATAAATAGTATGCAAACTTTATCTCTATCTTTATAGGATTGAAAGATTGCTTCCTCTTTTGAGAAAAAAGGAAATTAGTATACCTGGAAAAATCCAAATTCTTGACCAGCTTGCAAAAGTTGCTTGATTGTTTCAATTTTTTGTGATTTTCCAAGATCAATGACTGGGATTTTGTTGCATATGGGTATAGGGGCATCACCTGGTCTTTCTTCTTTGGAAAATGTAAAGCACTCAGGCACACATTCAACATTGAACCATTTTGTGTTATGTTTCTCCATAATTGCCTTCAAATCTTCTTCTATTCAAGTAAATTTAAACATGGATCAGTGTATCTAATGCTATAATTAATAATAATTAAGTACATGTGGCTGGTGCTTATGCAAATAGTGTACTTAATTATTTCTTTATTGATTAAATTAAAAAAAAGATTGAGACATGTATACTTTAATCAATCAACTAGCCCACAAACTCCCATGACTATTTTATTGCAAACATTACATTCTTAGTTGCGTATCATGTTATCACTCCAACTTTAATTTTTTTTTTTTTGACATTGATCAATTGTTAGAAAATATTATAAACACAACTGTTAATAATTATATAGATTGAGAACACTTATATAATATAGTAAAATAGGCAAAATGAGGTGTGCACCTTCATTCGCCATGGTAATGAACAACTGAAAATGAGCTGGCTGAGTGTTCTTCTACTTAAGCTTATGACGGCTGACACCTTATAAAATATGTCTTAGATTAAGACAGAAGAAGGGACTTAATCTCATATTTATAGTTAAATGTCTTAACCTAGTGTGTCTGCCATTACGGGCTTGCTGGTCTTCAACAGGCCTACAATATTGTCAGCCCACACATATAACATGAAATGGATACAGGCCCGTTAATGGAGAGGTAAAAAAAAAGATAAAATCATAAAATTTCTCACAAAGACATTTGAATTTCTCACCAAAGTTTCATAATAATAGTCATGCCAAAATTTCATCAAGATTGCATGATAAATTATCATGTCAAAACCTCATTGATATATTGATATGTCTTGCAAAATATCAATCAAGGCTTGGCTAATTTTTTTCTATAAATAGGCATATGTTTGTAGAAGGAAGAATATCCAATTATCATTCATTTAGTATTCTTCCTTTTTAGTTTTTTAAGTTTTCTAAGGAGAAGAAAAGAGTTAGAGGGTGTTTGGATTGACTTAAAAGTTGGTCAAATCTACTTTTAAGTCAATTTTTGACTCCTGGAAGTGTTTGACAAATATAAAAAATAATTTAAAATAAGTAAAAAAATGACTTAAAATAAGTAAGGAAGTGTTTGACAAGGTAAAAAATAACTTAAAATAAGTCAAAAATCAAAAGTAGGTCTCCCCTACTTTTTATTTTTTGACTTAAAAATCATTTCAATTACTTTTTATTTTTTACTTAAAAACTACTTTTTTTAAGCCAATCCAAACGGGCTCTTAATCTTGGTCTCTTTTTCTAGGCTTTTTCTTGTATTAAATTTTTGTTAAATCTATTTTTAGTAATGGAGTAATCTCTTTGTGTTAGGATAGTTGATGAAACTTGATATCTTTATAATACTACCATCTCAATTTTGAAATATCTTGGCCTGATTTTTTTTTTTTAATTTCAAATTGTGCTGGAAGAATAATTTTCAATTAGTCATTTTAGCATATTTAAATATTTTTTTCTCTAAGTTAGTTTTATATTAATTGTATGACCACACACCAATGGCGGACTACTAAGTACTAGCAATTATATCATGCATTTTGAAGAACAAAAATAAGGTGGAACTACATAAAAACATATACAATCGATTTTCTTGTATGTGATAGATTTTCTTATAATTGTTGAAAACATTCTTTACTTTTCATTTTCATATTATATATGCAGACATTTTTAAAAGACTATGCATTTGCATCCTAATTGAAATCACTCAGAAGTTTTGAAGAAGAGAAAATTAATGCATTAGTTATTATATAGGGATAAGAGTTTGAAAAATATCCCAACTTTGGTCGAATTTGCTGTTGCAATACTAAACTTTCATGATGACATATTACCCCCTGAACTATTTAATAGTGTATTTTTTACCACTGAACTATTTAATAGTGTATTTTTTACCCCTGAACTATTTAATAGTGTATTTTTTACCCCTGAACTATTTAATAGTGTATTTTTACCACTGAACTATTTAATAGTGTATTTTAAAGGTATATATGTGTCCATGTGGACACATTACTATTTATAATTTGGCATTATTTTTTATGTCCACATGGGCAAATATATATGTTTAAAATAAGGTATTAAATAGTAGGGAGGTAATAAGTCCTCGTGAAAGTTTAGTATCGCAACAACAAATTCGACCAAAGTTAGGGTATTTTTCAGACCCTTATCCCTATTATATATCAACCAATTCTATTATTAAATTGTGCTAAATGATTTACTTTGATAACTTTTTCCAATAACATCATTATCTTATCGTTTTCCTATTAGAATCATTATCTTGTTGTTTTCCTTGTAATCTTTGTCTTGTCTGGTCAATTCATAGTAAAAGGCTACCAACTTATACACACAATATATTTTTTTAATACAAATAAATTTATTTAAAATTTAGAAAACAATTACAAAATAGTGCTTGTTAAATAGAAAGAATATTAATTATATAAAAAAACAACAACAATCTTCTATAACAAGTAATGTTGCAATATACATAGTTTTAAAGTAGATTATATTATCAATGTATACAAGTTAAAATTCTTTATGTTGAAAATTTACATCGATCCATATAGTCGTTTTGGTATTTGGACCCCCTATCCCTTGAAATATCCTCTTCGTAGCTTTATTGTAATTTTTAACTTGCGGAGATGGATGACATTATTTTTGGAGTGATAGGATACATGTCGGGGAAGAATATCTAATTTTAGAAAATAAAAATAAAAATTGAAAGTTTAACTAAATTAACATTTTGGATTAACTAATTCAAATTGGATTTCGATTGTTTCATTAATTAGGTCCAGAATAATTTATAACTCGGAGGTAATTCATACCATTGGGTTGGTTATTAGTTGATTTGGAGTTTTGAATGAATAGGTTTGACTATGGTCAACATTATCAATGGTTTCAACTGATTTGCCAATTTTGTGACCCAAAATTAAATCGAATTCCGGTGGTTTAACTTTGATTTTCCTATAAAAAGTGTGTAAATTTAGAAGTTGCATCTAGCTCATATTTTAAAAGTTAGCTCAAAAGGGAGAGAATTATTCAACCCTTATAAAACTACCACATATATATAAAATATATATATATATATATATATCATCATCAATACTCGATGTGAGACTTTTTTTTATTCTTCAACTCCCCACATCACGTCCAGAGCCTTGGATAAACAAAGATCTAAATAGATACAAGATTAAAAAAAAAATTGAATGGTAAAATTAAAAGGAAAATTGACTAAACAATAAAAAATGAAAAATAAATGATGATGATGATGATAAGATAGGTTAGATTTGTAGGATTAAAGGAGATATAGACCTTTAATGAGTATGACAAATAAAATAAAAAATAACGATAAAATGATTAAAATTGAAGCATACACAGACATCGTACCTTAATTTGCGCTAAACAACACACTTTGAAAAGTTGACACTTTCAATTAGCATCATTTTTAACCCAAGTTTTGGACAACAAATATTTTTAATTAAGGAGTTTAATACATTGTAATTCCGTAATTTGATAGATCTAATTCGTATTTACTGATCATGCCAATAATTTTACACTATAGGTATATTTTAATAAGTTACGATTCATGTTATCTATCTTAGCATATGTACACTTGCAATATAAAATATTTATATCATCAGATCAATTAAAAGGATAGTTTGAGGTAACTACTCATGTTAAATTGTCGTGAGTGACATCCACACTAAACTACATGACGGGAGAAATGATAACTAACCCAAAATATCATTTATTTAAAGCAATTCATCATAAATAAATAGCAAGAAAACAGTTTTTAAATAGCTAAATATTGAGTTTCCATAAACCCAATCAATAGTCATACAATTTAAATTAAAGAATTAAGTCCTCATAAGCTCAATCCAATAACCAAAAATAATTATTTGGAAATAAATCCTTAAGAACTAAAAGAGCGGTATCAAAACTTTAATGCCTAAAGTAAAGGGGATGCAACCCCGAAGCTTAAAGCACTAAACAAAATGGAGAATGTCTTAGCCCAGAAAGATGGACAAAAAGAACAAAGGAATGCACGGCAGCATGGATGAACAACTCACTTTTGGATTTAAAATTAGACGTCCCTTAACTTATAAGGTCTTGGATCAGCTGCATGAAGATGTCTTGTACTTAATAAGGAAAGAACATGTGTCGTGTCGGTACACAAACCACAATATATTGATAGGATCACATGAACAGTCCAAGATATGAATGTAAACAACTTACCATAGTACAGTAACTCAGAACAATACATAAACAATTATTAATACCGACTCCCAGTCACATATTATGAAATAAAAAATACCTGGATACACGTACCACATGATTACAAATGCTATGTCAGTTTTCTCATGAAACCATGAACACATACCCAGTACTCTCATAAAACCCAAAGTCAAATTGTTAGTGTACCGTTGTGGTACCTGATCCATCCATAGTTAGTGAAGCGACATGATATTCGAGTCAATCATATATGTATATTTTGTACTAGGCGTGATATTCGAGTCAATCGTTAGTACATACAGAGCGTGGTATTTGAGTCAACCGTGGGAATATCCTGTACAAGATGTGGTACCCGAACTAACCAACAAACACAGACAATCATACACGATAAAAAACATGAACAATTACACTTGAAATTAAAGCACAAGTCACATAACCAGTTCATGCATGAGATTATCAACATAATGTCATTTCATATGTCTCTCTATGTTTTCCCTAACATGTATTGTACAATGGTACTATAAGTAGTAGACATGCATATATACATAAAAAAAAACATACAACCATAACTTACATCGAATCAAGCTTCTTGGAAACTCTAAAGAACTCAAGTTTTTTCTTTTCGAAGTGTCTTGACTAGTTCTTGGTCTAACACAATAAGTATATACAAGCAACTATTTGGAAATATTTGGAAGACCAGTCATTGTTTGTTTCAAAGCTAGTGGAAGCAGATAAAGTGGGAATTCTTTTTGTTCGTCTTATCAGTTCAATGCCTACTACAAAATATTGTAATAGTTCTACTTCTAGTCTCCACCCCCAACTTCAGGCCTCACAGCCACTATTCTGTAATGAAGGATATTAGTTGTTAATATAATATCTTTATTTGTAAAAAAAAACAGTATATACAAGCAACAAACAATCACAAAGGCCTAATTATATCCGAATTATAATCAAATTCTAAGCCAATTCATGATCATCCTTCCCAACTTAGGATTTTTTCGACCATGAAATCATGTCAAATCCACCCACCCACCCA